CCTAAGAAGATCGTAAACATTATCTGAAATACGTACGACTAACTACACTGTGAAGTCGTGTATGGAGGACGACTGACAGACTTATTCCATGTGAGAACCGGAGTCAGACATAGCTGTTTACTCTTCACCTTTCTCTTCCGGTGGTCAACTGGATTATGAAGACTTCGACATCTCAGGGGGAGCAGGTAATAGAATGGACAGCTCGCAAGAGTAGGACTTCTCAGATGACCTGATCCTTCTATCCTATACACACAAACAAATGCAGATGAAGACAACTCGTGTAACAGTAGCCTCTGCATCAGTAGGCCAAGATCCTCAAATACGACACAGTGAACTCCAACCCATTCACACATGATGGAGAGACTTTGGAAAATGTGAAAACTTTCACATATCCGGGGAGCTTTATCGATGAGCAAGGAGGAAATAACGCAGATATAAATGCAAGTATTGACAAATCAAGGGCAGCATTCCTACAAATGAAGAACATATAAAACCCACAACACTTCCTGTAGCTCAGTGAAACTAAGTCATTGAATGGGGTTATCTTACTCATTGTTTATTTGTATGTGGTTGTTGGTGACCTCTCCTGTTTGGTGTGTTACATTATATTTTAAAGATAATTATTACATTGTTCCATACTCATCTATGACTTGTAAAATAATCTTGACTGTTGCTCGCATAAATGTTGGATAAGTATATGAACTTATTACGTCATACGAAATCTTACTTATGAGATGATGAAGAAGATTTGTAGCTCAGGTGGATGATTTTGATGGAGTCTTGTTCTCTGAGCTGGATGGTTTGTAGCTTTCATCGTTCTTCTGAACGACATCATCAGCACAAACTTCAGATTGAAATGAAATCGAAAAACACTCCATGTTATTTGATATGAAAATTCAGAAATAATAACTGTCGACTACCTCCAACCACCATCTTATCTCGATATAGTGTACGCAATGAAGAGTCACCAAGACTGGCGATGGATACATCACAATCCTACAGGAGATCAGTCATGGTCCGGATTGTTCATCGGTAACTTCTATAAATGTGAAGCTGAGCGATATGGGATCGAATCCATCAGAGAGAATTAGTTCCCTCAAGATTACAGGTACACCATGTTGACAAGTGCCAAATAGCACGAAACCCGTGTACAGGGTTTTCTGTTGACTACCTCCAACCACCATCTTATCCCAACATAGTACTCGCAATGTCGAGTCACTTAGACGGATGACTACATCGCAACTTGGTCGATAGGATTCGATCTGCACTAAGAAGTATCTGACACATATGATATTGATCACCACCCGGTGACCAATCAATTGCGAATACTTCCAAATACCTTTATATCTGTTAAATAAGTTTTTAGCTATCAAAGCTCATTAGTTCAAGGGATAATATGTTACTGTTAAAAGGTGTAAGACATAAGGGTCTCAATATAAACATCAATACAGAACTATCTGGTTGATTAGTCCTAAGGATGACCAAATGTGTCTTTTTGATTCTGTTCTCAGAAACTCACCAAATATATCATCAATCCAATTAGTTGATGGCTTTATGTCAAGGTTTAGTGGTGACTAGTTTTATGTTTTAGTTGATATTTATCACAGATAAAGCTCAATTGGGTTAACACTGGACGAAAAGAGCACTGAACAAGTGAGGACAATCGACTGTATTTGAATACAAATTTACACGATCACTTAGTAAAATCTGAAATCCATACAGTAAATACTTCATTTGCAAAATATCAATCAATCGTCTTAGACTTCATTGTTCTTTCGTTTCCAAACGAATCATTTTCTGTCCCCATTTTCTTCTCTTCTCTTCGATCTTCTTAACTTTCTGCCACCAGACATTTCACTTTCGGTTGATGATACATACTAGTTATATCTGTCAATATCAATAGCACACACCGCAATTACAGACTATGCCCAATTGGGGTACCATTCGACAATAATAGTACTGAACAAACGTTTCGACTCAATATATGAAAGTTATCTTCATGTTCATTGATTCATTACGCCTTCTCTTGTGGCGAGACCTTAGCATTCAGACCAATCGTTTACGCACCTAACTTTAATCAATTCGCCATATCAACCAACCATCTTCCATTTCTCTCAGTGGATAATCATCTCATACCCCTGGACTTGACCTCACTCCATTGGTTACATCTTATCTTTGGAATCCTGAGAATTTTTTCACAAAGTTAGTCACTAATTGATAAGTCTTACTAATTGAACGCTATATTCGGTTTCTAAGCTATTCTCGTAACTTCCAAGCAAGAACTACGCAGCGACCTGAACACGAGAGAAAAGGCGCAAAACTATGCGAGAAGCACTTTACTCCAAAGGTTCATTCTAGTACAAAAAATATAAAGTTCTTATAGTATTTTAGATGTCCTTGGGTTTCCCGAAGATTCTGGGATGCTACTAAACATAGCAGCAGTATAGTAATCAGCCAATCAGAAACTCTACATGTGACTTTCCACTTCCTTGATGTTTCTGGCTAACCTTCAAGTGAACGCTGATTGGATGAAACGCTTCTTAGTGTTTCTTGAACCTTTTTTGTCTTTTGCAAGAAGTTTTCTGGATCACCCCAACACTAATTAACAAATGTTCAGTACTTCTTGGTTTTCAATGTTTATCTACCTTGGTTTGATTCGTGGTCTCAATAACATTTAAAAATCTCAACAAGCCCCAGTACTGATAATTATTATAATGTGCTCACAAGTGAGTGGAAACTTCCTCAGTTCCAGTAAGAATCCACGACACATTCTCTCACATCAGATAATAGAAGATTCATACAAAATATTGCGGGCTAATTGAATTTAAATATATAAACCATTGGGTCATTGCTCAGCGGTTCAGAGGTTAGACGTTCGAATGCGAGACCTCATGTCTTATATTCGACACCCTGTTTAGTGTCAGGAATGAGAAATAATGTTTCATTTTAGGATGAGATAATTTTAAACTGTTTTAGATTTAGAATTTAAGATTATACATTTTAGTAAAGGTTTTCATCACGAACTGACATTAGCGATGATGCCAAAATGTTATTTGAATTATGCGCACAAACCTAAGACCTAGTATCCTGAATTTCAATGGTTCATTCATGAATTATACTTTCGCCGATGATTACTATGATTAGATTCTGTTTATCGCAATTCTTGCATGAGCTTATTTCAGCTCCTGAACAGACATTATTTTATTGATTGTTTTGTTCAGTTGACCTTTCATCACTATCCGTATACTATTGTAATGTGTGTGTGTGATCCATTCAAGTGTATATGTCTACTCACTTGTATTTTGTACATTCCTTCTGTTAGCTGAGTCTCGTTTAATGTTCTCGAAATTCTAAGTATAGGGTTCATTCATGAACCATTGTTGAAAACCAGAAAGTCATTGACGGTCGTTTCTTCACAGTATGGGACTGCTCAGTGATGCACATCCACGACACCGCTCGCACAGATTGAACCTAGAACTTTCAGTCTCCAAGTTTATATGCTCCTGAATCAAGTAATTTATTCAGATTCTCATCGTTTATCTACTGTCCGTATATATGTTGAAAATAAACACGTACTTCAAACACTATTAGTATTCGAATTTTCGTTTCCTGCTGTTATTAACTAGAATAGTCAACAGAGTATGCATAAAGTAAATAGGACCTATAGTTCATTTATCATCATCAACAGAATCAAAATATCCCGTTATAAAATGATAGTCTTGATGCGTCTTATCTCATAAATGCACAGTATAAATCCTAAATAAATATGGTACAAAATTGTCTGAAGGTTTTCTCCTGTACATAACATGATAGAATTGATTTTTCATTACATACAGTTAACCAACTGATCAGTAAATCTTTCTTTTAACATTTAATCAATATTAACGTTTAGAGAGTATCAAATGTTTAACGTAATTGTAAAATAAAACAAGACAATGATGTACATCACAGACTGACAATAGTTAGACAACTAGGAACTAATGCATAACTGTTCCGTTCTAGTATAGGACTTCAATTTCAAATGAAGAACAGCACAATAAGGTATACTGTTGGGGACGTTAGATCCTCAGAACTCACTGAAGAAAGGACCTAATTTTGTCATTTTATTTAGAGAATTTTGAATTTCTTTGTTTTCGCACCAAAGGCGCTCTTGTCATCTTCATGTCGTATTTCCCACTGGAAAATATCTTAGATGCTATTGGTTCAATGCGTCTTTTAGTATACTCTTTGGTAACTCTCCCCCAAGGACGGTTTTGGACTGTATATATATACGTTTTGAATTGTGTTTGTTGTTATCGCTCGTTTCTGGCTGTTTCGCAGAATATACTTCCCATTCCAAGCTTTTACTTCTCCCTCTAGTTAGCGGAGCTGGAACGCATGGAATAGCTAGCTTACTGATCTTGGTCACTCAGTCTTGTTCTCGTTCACAGATTAAGTGAACTTGTGATAGCTTCAAACCTAACATATGCTTAAAAGATATCTTATGAATTCAACTGTTAAAAATAATACAATTTCCACAAATCCTCATTCTCACAATAATCATGTACTCACTAATGACCAACTTCAGGATGGATTTACTAGAGTTCTAGAGAGAAGCTGTGATTAGTGGAACCTAATCTGTGTCGAGTGTGAGAGAGTTATCCACCTCAGGTAATAGATGAAGAGCTGTGCAAGATCATGGATTGATTGAAGTTAAACATTAACAACGTCGGGTTCCGGGTCAATCATCTAGAGGTTAAGCGTTAGCTCGCATCACTTTAGCCCTTGGTTTCGAGTCCCTCATGCAGGATCATAAATACTCAATACTGAGGAGTCCTATCCTATCGGTCAGTGTAAGACCACCATGGAAAACCTGGAAGCACTAAACGACCGTTTCGTCCTAGTATAAGACTCCTCAGACAATTTACCAATAGTCAATAAATCCCTGTTTAACACTTGAATTTCAACCATCTAACCCTTTAACTACCATAAACATGAATCCAATTTCTTGTCAATGAAGTACTTATCAATTAAATGTTATATTTAAAAGTACTCATGAAGAGGATAATTATGAAAGGACGAAATAAATAGCATTAAATGAAACAATTCAAACATAGCAACAACAACAACAAAATTGATTACATGAACAAATGACAAAGCATTTCTTGAACATTGAATCTGTTAATAACTTATTTAAACAAAATTAATTATGTTTAATGAATTTTGTTTTATTTTAATAAAGATTTATATGATTCATATCTATTGCCAATCAGCACCGAGTAATGCTAATAGAAGTCGTCTATAATCACCAGATGTTTCACTACGTATCCAATCTTCAAGTGAACTACCTTGATCATTTTGAAATTGTACACAAATACTTCCTAAATCAAACTAAATTAGGCAAAGAAAGAAAGAAACAAACAAACAAACAAATGTACTAAAAACAAGCGTTGATTAAAGATATAAAACTCAAAGCTATTTAGTTATATATAACTGTTTGACCTTACGACTGTAATCCTATTGGCTAAATATGACAAGTAGATTTGACCAATCAGCGTGAAGTTAAATAAATTCAAGGTTGACTCAAAGAATGTTTATTTCAATAGTTGAAATCATGAGTCAATTAAAGCTAGATCACTATGGAAAACCTGAAAGCACTGGATGGCCGTTTCGTCCCAGTATGGGACTTCTCAGCAGTGCGCATCCACGATTCAATAGTTGAACTATTTCTGTAGTTCAACTATTGAAATTTCTAAAATCTTCACGAAACTTCTTCTGAAAATGTTTATTTATCAGTATGTATCTATATAAACAATTAGTTTTGTGTATAATTATTCCCTTATTCGTTCATTACCAACAATTTGTATTGTATTAAGCTAGTAGGAGTTTTATCATGTTCAGATCATTATAAGCTATTTATTCTAAATAGATAATCAAGTATAGGATAGGAGCAATTAACTTACAATTAAATGAACTATTCAAAACATACATTACAATAATGTTCGGATTGATTTTAAGACTCAAGTTACGTAATTCGACTTGGTTATTGAAAGCTTCTGTCGTCTAAGAAACTTGTAAGCATGCCCTTGTACAGCTGAGAGTGGGGAGAGTCAACTATCCCTCTCAAAATGCTCTCAAGTGATCATGTGTATACGACCACTGAGAGTGAAGTCCTACTCATTGCCTTCTCAAAGCATTACTGTTGTTTACGAAATTGAGAGGATGAAAAGTGAATGTCTGGCGCTTTAACCGGGTTCGGTGGATATGGAGAGTCCACCTAGGGGAGTTGGAAAACCCTCATTCCAATCCAGTGGTGCACATAGGCTCCAGCATCCTGAAGGAACAAATGGAGTACGAACCAATTGTTGGTTACCGGCTACTATGGAACTGCATCTCCTTACGATGCTCCACTGCCTTGTGGATCAGAACCTTTAGGTCAAAGGCTCCGGGTGTGGTCCACTAAGAAAACCACCTGCTTCTGTTCGGGCAAACGAGCAGTATCCCAGCTCACACATAAATCAAGTGACTTGTGTGGCGCATATCTATTTGGTGCTTCCTTATACAAATGTTTATGTGTTTAAATAAATGAATAAATAAATAAGGAAGTAACACAGAGTAGGCAGATTCGTCTGAATGATTAGATTTTAAAGGTTGATTGGGTTCTTCTTGTCCGTTTGGCCAATATTATATTCTTTAGAAACCTTTGAAGTACGCTTACCTTTTTATTTGAAGTGTATACATCGATTTTTTGAAGAGTTCAATACATATCACTTTGTCACATGGATAGACATCGAATATGGTTCAACCGTGTATTCAATGGTGTTTTGTTGTATGATCTAAATATCAGTCAGTCAGTCAGCTACAACGTAGGACCAGGCACATATATGCATCGGTCCAGGTTGCCATACCGCACTAGCACAGAAAGATGGACACCGGATTCATAGGAGTGGTTAGGTCAAAGGTGGTAATATATAAGAGAAAGATCTATATATAGTGTTTCTATGGCTTATATTGTCGCTTTAAATAAGATTCTTAGCAAATACGTCTGACAAAAGTGAACGTTTTAAATTTGTCCCGCAAATCCTGTATGAATTACTTTAGATTATTTTGTTTGTGAATGATAATCTTGCCGACTTTCTTTATCGCCTTACATCTTTACTCTTGTACTAAATCTCATTAGAAATGGTATTACCCCAACAATGATACGATACGATGAAATGAATCTCTATCGAAATGTCTATTGACTATAGGTTAACCTATATGTCAGGTTCTTAGGAATTTCCTTGAAATGTTTTGTCTCTCTTGATTCATCTTTACAGTTGAATTCTATATCTATAACAGTCTGTGAAGAGTGATGTGAGTAAAGACGCATTGTGTTGTTGACCTTTCAGTCTATGCTCGTTTATGAATAGGTTATGTGGGAGTCTAGTGTGTTTAATATAATTTTTTTTCTTTTTGATTGAGATCATGAACTGATTGATGTTAGACCACCAGTGAAAACTTTGAGGTACTGGAGGGCCGTTTCGTTTTATTGTAGGACTCCTCAGCAGTGCGCATCCACGATTCCGCTCGCGGGATTCAAACCCAGGGCTTTTTTCTTGTAGTTCAACAACATACTGGTATGGTGAGTCAATCAGAAGTAGCCAAATGAGAAGGTCATTCGATGGCAATGAAAAGTAACTTGAAGGACAACTGAATGTTACTGGCTAAGAAATAGATCGATTTTCTGATGGGTAGAGTTGTATATATACATATATGAGTATTTGTGCATTTTATTTGGTAGCCAAATATACTTTTCCGCTCACACTTGTGTTCTCAATCAACTAGTCAGTTGAGGGAGTTAGCACAGAGCACATAGTGTACTGGTTACAGATTCGAACTTTGTCCATCACAACACATACAAGGTTATATTTAATCCATTACCTTTAATACTTACCTCACTTCTTGTCACAATAATACGCATTAGTGTACAATCATCGGTACCGGCACCTTTCATTGCTTTCAACAATAAATCAGAATAAGCTTTTGGACGATTTAAACAAGTATTTACTATATATTCAAAAGAAATATTAAAGAAGTAAATGAACAATTGACAAAGACAATAATAAAAGTATGATTGAAAGCTAGTCAGCACGGAACAAATAATGATCTACTTATTCAATAGTAGATACTCAACCACAGATCAATCTATCAAGTATGTATCACATTACTAGTGTAATGAACGACAATACAGAGAGGTGGGGGAAAGAGGAAACCAATTTACAGTGTAATACAAAACTACAGAATATTCTGGTCAAATATAAGAACTATACACTAAATACTTTATTTGCAAATCTCCCCTCAATTGTCCGTCACATTCTATATGATTATTTCACTACACAATCCCTCTCTACTTCCCTATTCTGCGTTTCTTTAACTCAATCATCTTAGAGTTCTGATGTCAGGTTTTCTATTTCCGATTGGTGTTACATACTACTTATATCTGTCAACATTAATGGATAAGCATGTCTCAATTCAATCATTAAGTTAATACTTGACGATATGAATTCTTTAACGTTAGCTAAGTAGGTGATTTAGTATAATTGAATATCTTGAAGAGACTTGAACCATTGTCTAATTTCTCTTGGTTTCAATGATCCCTAGAATACAGAGAGAGAGTGTGTGGAGAGATTTGTCCCATTTGAAGTGTTCTTCTATGGTTACAAGTTTATAGTCGCTAGCAGGAACCTCTACTCACTCCTTTTATGTAGCAGAGGTATTTGTTTGATCGTGTGAGGGTTTATCTAAAAGAAGTTGGGCTATCCATAGTTCGCACAAATAGGTTCCAGGATACAGGTGAATGAATGGCATAGGAATAAAGTTTCGTTACTGGTTATCTTTAAAGTGAATCTCCTGAAGTGATCAAACAATTTTGTGAATTAAACCTCAATGATAAATGACAAGAATGATTCGCTAAAAAATCACCGATTTCAACCTGGGTGTTTTATGGACAGTATAAATTGTTAACTGGGTATGAAAACTGCTCTTTGAGGTGATTAAAGTAGAAGACTCATGGTTTTAACTGCTTAACACTATCCATCTTTGTTTATAAACGTTGTGATGTAGGGCAATATCGTGGCAGTCGGCACAGGATACACATATACCAACAAGAGACTGATCAATTAAACTCCTGCATAACAGTGGGAAGATAAAAGTAAACAATACCAAGTGAATTTAAACTTCACCACATTGTACAAGCAAATTGCTACCTGAATTCATAATGTAAGTGGATAACGCGATAGTGTTTGAATCGAACACTGATGGATTCGAGTCTCAGGATGAACATCAACTCTGAGATGGAGGCACACTCAGTCGACGAGTCCCAAATGGAACGAAACATGAGTCCTGGATTACACTATCAGCCACTATCCATCTCTGCTCATAATGCTTGTGAATTAAGGTAATATCGAGGTAATTCGCACAAAATGCAAATATGCTAATAAGAGACTAATCAATGAGACTTAAACAATGACTTAAACATCAATGAGAAGATTTAAACAACCAATACAACGATGAATTCAACTTCAAATCACTATATAAGCTAGTGGCTATCTAGATTCGTTAGCTAAGTGGATAACATGATGGTATTTGGAAAGTAAGGTACTGGATTCAAGTCCTGAAGTAAACGAAAACTATAGGATTCCAATATATCCAATCGATGAGTTTCAAATAGGATGAAACGCACATCTTGGATTCCACTGTTAGCCATCATCATCTCTCTGTTTGTTATGAATTACTGTTACACATTAATGGATTGGATAGATTCATTGAAATAAACACTGGATATTATAATGATTATCTTACAGGTTAATAAAAGAGCACTTTCAAAATCTCCAGATGTTTCAGACGCTAATGAATCGACCAATGTTTTATCATATTTCTATGAATAAAATAAAAAAGCGAAATATTAACTGAATATTATTAAAGACAAAATAGATCCAGGTTTTCAATGGTGGTCTAGTTTCAATTGACTTATGATCTCAACCGCTGAAATCACTACAATCTCCACAAAACCCCTTCTGATACTAATCAACATATGCTCACTATTGGCTGGCTTCAAGAGATATATCCTGGAGTTCTATTGAGAAACAGTGACCAGTGGAGTTCAACCGGGTCAGTTGTGAGGTAGTAACTCACTAATGACAATGGTGGATGTGTCGCTCAATTTCGTGGATTAGTTAGAGTTAGACATTAACACCGTTGGATGCCGACCAGCTCAGTGGTCTAGTTGGTTAAGCGCCTGGCGTGAGACTGACACGTTCTGGGTTCGAATCTTGCGAGGCGGGATCGTGGGTGCGCACTCCTGAGGAGTCTCGCAGTAGGACGAGACGGCCGTCCAGTGCTTCCATGTTTCCCATGGTGGTCTAGCTTCAATTGACTCATGATCTCAACTGTTGAGATCCCTATGCATTTGTAGCAGAACGTTTTTTTTCAATATTCAATTAATATACAATAACTTTTCATCTACAAAACCTGATTTGGTTTCAGTAACCGGTCAGTATTCAAGCCCATTACACAAATTGAATGATTTATGTAACACATATGTATTTTAATAGTTGAATTCATGAGTTCATTGAAGCTAGAACATTATGGAAAACCTAAAAGCATTGGACCGTCGTTTCGTACTATGATAATACAGTTAGTAGATAACAGTCAATCAAATTCCAAGGCAAAAAAAAACAGGCTATTAGTCAATTCTGATGAAATCCTAATAGTTCACTTTTCTTTAAGATACATATTGATGACACTACTCAGAAAGATTCACAGCTCAAAGACCACAGACATTACTTCCATTACCATATAAATACGAGTAACTAAAGATTTGACCTAGGTGAATACATGTATATACAGAGTGTTGCATAGAGATAAGACAAACCTTTTCAAACAGACGAGCAACTTCTTGTAAATGCCAAACATTTCGACCGGTTATAATTCGAATGATAGCAGATTCATCAGTTCCTAGATGTCTACAGGAATCAATAAAAAACACAACTGATATTTAAGAAAATACATAAATAGAGAATTTAATAATTTGCCTATGAAGAAAAAGTGCTCTCATTATTACATTTTATGGTTAAATCAAATCACTAACACCTTTATTTTGTCCATTCATACAATAAATAAACGTAATGAGATTTAACTGTTGGGGACGTTAGATCCCCAGAATTCACTTGAGAAAGGACTTAATTTTGTTGTTTTATTTAGAGAATTTTGAATTTCTTTGTTTTCGCGCCAAAGGCGCTCTTGCCAACTTCATGTCATATTTCCCACTTGAGAAATATCTTAAATGCTATTGGTCCGTTGCGTCCTTTAGTATGCTCTTTGGTAACTCTCCCCAAGGACGGTTTTGCACTATATATATACGTTTTGAATTGTGTTTGTTGTTATCGCTCGTTTATGGCTGTTTCGCAGAATATACTTCCCATTCCAAGCTTTTACTTCTCCCTCTAGTTAGCGGAGCTGGAACGCATCAAATTGCTAGCTTACTGGTCTTGGTCACTGAGTCTTTGTTCTCGTTCGCAGATCAAGTGAACTTGTGTTAGCTTGAAATCTAACATTAAAATGTTATCAAATTTCAATTAGTGTACTAAAAGGTTGGGTAAGTAGTTGGAAGTAGCTATTCAACTATAGGATGAAGCCATATTCAGCTGAAGAGTTTCAAATATGACGAAACGTGTATCCTGCTAGCCACTATAAAGAAAGATTTCCTAAGTTCTAGTGATACATCTTCATTCTTTTGATAAATTGATTGGGACTTAACACCGAGATATTCCCTATCTACCAGGTAAGCAAGGATGGTTGTGACATTTAAGCGTTTGCTTGTGAAACGGAATATCCTCGACTTGATTCTCAGTTAGGATGTTGTAGATAGACACTGATGAGGAGTCCCATGTTAGGGTGAAGCGGACATTCGAACTCTTTAGATTTCCAATATTTATTCAGGTAACAAATGTTTGTGATCCCGATGAAACCTACATCTAAGTTGACGTCTTAAATTCATCCATTATTCCAAATATTTTTGATACTTCGGATCCGTTGGCCAGACAATATCGGCAACAACTTACTGTGTGAGAGAACAAACCAGATTCCGATGGAGGCTAAAATCATGAAGAGGTTTTGGAAGTGGATAGAATACACATGGAGGAAATCATCCAACTGCGTCACAAGGAATGTCCTCACTTTGAATCCTCAAAGCCAAAGGGAAACAGGAAGACTAAAAAACACGTTACGCCGAGAAATGGACACAGACATGAGAAGAATGAACAACAATTGGATAGAACTAGAAAAGAAGACCTAGAACAGAGTGAGTTTGAGAATGCTGATCGGCGACCAATGCTCCACTGGTAGTAACAGGCGTTAATAAGTAAGAGTGGAATGTGACATAGTAATCCAAACGGAAACCTATAAATTATTGATACTTCAAGAACTTTATGCCTAAATAAACCCCATGATATCGGTAGATCGAAATTAATCTATGACTGAGAACAATTAACATTTACAGCAATATCAATCATTATATACATTTCCAAGTAATTGAAAACTACTTCTATAACATAATGAATAGGTTTGTGCTGATCGGTTCAATGAGAAGTAGTTAGCCAATAAGATTATTTCAACTAATCAGTTGACTAAAATGTTGATTTCCACTTCAATCATTTCTTTGATTAAGAATCAACTATCACAAATGAAAACAAACTTTTTATTGATTGAGATCATGAACAGATCAATGTTAGATCACTATTACAAAACCTGGAAGCACTGAACATGAATGTCTACTACTGAGGAATCCTATACTGAGACGAAACATTCGTTCAATGCTTCCAGGTTCTCTCAATGATGGTCTAACATTGATCCATTCATGATCTTAATTAATTTTAAAGAAATATCTACTTACGCTTCACCAGCATCCCATAATGTTTCAACATCTTGTTCAACTTGATTCATATTCACTATACTTTTCAATCCTTTTGTACTAATTTTTTCAACATCTTCATATGAAATTTCATCACGACTAGCTTGAAGTAATGCAACGACTAGATTTTGAAAATGTCCACTTAAATCATTTTGAACATCACTTTCTAAAGTTCTTCTAGGATCTATTTTTAAAAGTATAATTTCATTTTTATTATTGAAAAAGTTATCAGAATATTGTCATAACAACAATACATAGTATAAGAAAGGAGTTTTGTGGAGATTGTAGTAATTTCAATAGTTGAGATTATGAGTCAGTTGAAGTTAGACAATCATGGAAAACTTGGAAGCGCTGCTGATGAGTCCCGTAATAGGAAGAAACGGCTGTCCAGTGCTTCAAGGTTTTCCGTGGTGGTTTAGCTTCAATCGACTCATGATCTCAACTATTGAAAATATATAGTATAATTATGTTGAAACAAATATCAATGTCTATTAATCTTCACAACAGACTAGTTTATTTAGTAATTTAACTAGATCCTTAATTAGAGTTTAAAAGCACTGGACTCCCGTTTTATCCTAGGATGGGATCTTTGAAGCAGTGAGCATCCACTATCCCGTACGTGGAAATCAAAGGAAGGACTCTTCGTCTCGTGTGAACATTTAACCTCTAGACCACTGGGCCGGTATCCAAGGGCATTTATATATAACTTCAACTTATTCACGATATCGAGTAACCCTTATCCATTCCCTACCGTAAATAATCTCCAGTGAAAACAGACCTTAGTGTGGTTACTGATGAGGACCTTAAAACTATGAAACATCAAATGATAAATCAGCATAAAAATTTGAACTTCATAAATGGGTTTTAAATAAGAACCCCAAATCAGACGTTATCTAAAAACAGGTTTACTTAAGGGAACAAAATAGACTGTTAAGGCTCATCAACTCTGAGTTGACAGGTGCCTGGATATCAGTCGTAGCATCAAGAGCACAATGAAAAGAGGAAGATTTCCTTCAAGCCACATAATTTATAAAGCCTAACACTGTAGCTAGTGAATAATTGACCAACTATGTAAACCAATTAGTTTCCTTTATAGATTTTGATAAAACAATGAGATCATCTTCTTCTGTTCGTTTTTCTATTAGGACTAAATATGTGTCAAACTACTTACTATTATTCAGTAACATATCCATAAAACAGAAAAATCAAGATAATAATGAGTTTGAATTCGTAGGTTGTATTCTTCACGAATTGACTTCAGTACAAGTACCATTGATAAATAGGTAAGATTGTACATTTGCTTCTTACTAGCGTAAGACTATTCAATAGTAAATGCGAATGAAGTTCAGGTAATACTCAGTGTATTCAAACGGTCTATCACTTAGCTGTGTTTTTTTAAACATATACCTCTAATTTCAATGGTTGAGATCTTGAGTCAATTGAAGCTAGACCATCATAATAAACCTGGAAGCACTGGACGGTCGTTTCTAACCTCACTTGGTGTGGTTTGCTTGTATCTTCTCATTGTTCTTTAGGACTGCAATTAGTCAGTCTCTTGTGAGAATATACTTTTAACTTCCATCAATTCGTTATATATTGAGCGATTATTTTCAAGCGTCATTAACGAGCATTGTTTTACTCACAGAATGGGCAACGTCCACCTGTTATGAGTTCCCTCTCGAGCTTCAGGAAATGATTTTGTACATGTTTTTATTATCATTAGTTATTATTATCATTAATTCTTAACAAGCAGTTTGAACGCATTTTAATTGGCCTTATTGCAACTATGTATATATATACTCAAGGTTGTAATCACGAACTGGTTTGCGCTCAAAAATAGTGAGTTTGAGCCTTAATGAGATATTGCAGTTAGTCACATATTAAAGCGAACTGCTGAGGAGTCCAATATTAAGACAAATCCGAGGTCAAATGCTTCCAGGTTTCCAATTGTGGTATAGCTTATATCAACTCGTGAATTGAACTGTTAAAATTACTACAATCTTCACAAATCCCCATTCTCATAATTTTCATGTGCTCACTAGTGACTAAATTCAAGATGGATATACTGGAGTTCTAGTAAGAAGCCGTGATCAGTCGAGTCCAATCCGAGTCGGGTGTGAGAGAGTTATTCATCACAGACAATGGATGAAGGGATGTGCAAGTTCATTAATCGATTGAAGTTAGATATTAATAACATTAGATGCCGGTTCAGCGATCTAAAGGTTAAGCGTTCACGCGGTATCGTGGATGCGCACCGCTGAGGAGTCTCATCAGTGCTTCACTGTTGGTCTAGCTTAGATAGACTCTTAATTTCAACTATAAAATACATATTCAAGCAAAAGAACTGTGCAGTGTTACATAGTTATCAACTGTTTTTAAGACTACTACTAATCAGTGTTATCATTGACATGGATACTTAATCTTTTCTAATCAACTCATTATTGACAATGGAAACATTCAGTGTTATGTTAATTATACAATTTGACTTACCGCTGACTCCATAAGCCTTTAGGACTGAAAAAAAATCAGATGCAAAAAAAACGTCATTCAAGATAAACATTTGACCGCATTTTTAGAATTTATCAGTTAAGTGTGTTCCCATCCAGTTGTTCTATTTCTGATACATCTTGCTAACTGAACGCTAGATTCTGTTCCTAGACTCTTTTAGTAACCGTTAGGCTAAATCTACGTTTTTATGCATGAATACATAACACGTTTTGTAATTGAATACGTAGATTTGGTTTCCTAAGTTCTTCTAGTAACCACCTCTCACATGTTAAATCTACCCAGCAACATGAGCACAAGAGAAAAGGTGGGAAATATGGAAATATACTTGACTCGAAAGGTACGTTTATTTACAGAAAATCTGAGGTTTTTATAGTATTCAGGATGTCTTTAGGTTTTCCGAAAATTCTCGAATGCTACTAAACATAGTAACAGTATGAGTAAACTATGCAATCACTTTCTAAATGTTTCTGACAAAACTTCTAGTGAACATTGATTGAATAAGATGCTTCTCAGTGTTTTCAGAATCCTTTCCAGGGTTTTTTTCGAGGAGTTTTCTGGATCTCCTCAACACTTTCCTTGATAATCAAATTTAATATTCATTGCTTAAAATACCGGACTATGGAATGTAGAGAATAGTCTCAATTCAAGAAGACTTTTAAACTGACAAATTGATCAATCTAATGTTGAATATATCAACAAACAGAAGACGTCCTAGCCATGTATTAATAACAATCGTTGTACTCCAGTTATATATGGACGTCAGAGTTTATCAAAGAAAAAAAAACGTCACTGGATGTCAAGATAGTCTAAATAATCTTGGTCTCACTAAACAATATTCGGACTTCAACATTGAACAGTTAGAACAAAGAAAGAGTTATTACTATGATTTGTGGTCCTTGAGTTTGAAAATGATAAGTAAACTCTCAGTACACGACTCCGACTGACTGCTTAAGTGAAAAGACTGAGAGTGAGAAGTACAAATATATATATATATATATATATATATATATATATATATATATATATATATATATATATATATATATATATCAGAAGGGGTTTTGTGGAATTCAACCGGGTCTGTTGTGAGATAGTAATTCACTGAAGACAATGGTGGATGTGTCATTCAATGTCGTGGATTAGTTGAAGTTAGACATGAACACTGGTCGATACCGACCAGCTCAGTGATCTAATGGCTAGGCGCTCGCGCACGAGACTGATAGGCCCTGGGTTCGAATCTCGCTAGGCGAGATCGTGGATGCACACTGCTGAGGAGTCCCACAGCAGGACGAAACGGCCCTCCAGTACTTCCAGGTTTTCCATGGTGGTCTAGCTTCAGTCGACTCATGATCTCAGCTATTAATATATATATATCCCTCAAAGAACTAATCCATCAATGATGCATGTCTCATTTGTTAGACATGAAAGTTATTTGTTGGCCAATCATGTGCGTTTATCATTTAGCGGTTAATGATTGATCCAATGTATCCAACTATCATTCTAAGACAAATCGCTGTTGTTTCAAATACTTTATTTTAGTCATGTAACTTCCAACTCTAATGCACTATATGATATTAGGAAATTATTGAAAAGATTTTGAGATGATGAAGAAGACTTGTAACTCAAGTGGATGATTTTGATGAAGTTTTGTTCTCTGAGATTTATGGTAGAAGTTCTATCAGAAGTTTGTGTTGATGACATCGTTCAAAAGAACGATGAAAGCTCCATGACCAAACTATCCAGGTGAGAGAATAAAACTCTATCAATTGAAAAGATTCCAGTAGGTATGAAGCTTAAAACAGTGGCAAGACATCTAAAGAGTCTAAATTTTGATAACTCTCAAGTATGCTTAGAAGGATGGAAAACAAGTTGAGAATATTGTATTATTAAGGTGTAAGATTAATGTACTTCAAAAGTGATTTCCTAGCCACTTGCTAATAACCATTGGCTAAATCTACATGAAAATTTGAACACAAAAGATATGATACTGCATTTCTTAGATATTTCTGTTAAGATTTCTATTCAACGTTAACTGGATAAAATATTCCTTGACATTTCTAAGCATTTAAAGATTTTGATGAGAGATACAATTGAGAATACTCCAACAAAACCTTTATAATTGAGATCATGAACCAATTGATATTAGACTACCATTCGAAACTTAGAAGTTATGGATGACCGTTCCATCCAATTGTGGCACTCTTCAACAATGCACATCCACGATCCTACCTCACTAGATTCGAAATCAGGACCTATCGGTCTTGCATGCGAACACTGAACCTCTAGACTACTGAGCCAGTTGGTATCCAATAGTTTTTATGTCAAACGTCAACGTTATTATAATACATTTTTTTATTATCTTAATTCAACAGACTACTTAAATCTACTTACCATATTGATATGCTTGTTTAATATTTTCAATTTCAGTATTAGTTGATGTACATAAAACTTCAATAATTGTTTCTTCATCAGTACCTGCACCATTAATTGCTTTATATAATGCACGTGCATTCACTATATCTATATCAGTTAATAACATTTTAAGTAGTTTTTTAAAATGACCGCTTGTTTCACTAGATAATTCATCTATTAAATCCTATTTTAAAACAAACAAAAAAATTGAAAAATATAATTAATAAATGTTTTATATAAACAATTGAAACATTGAATTATTTTTTGTTAAAACGATAAGAAGCGCGAAACTATAATTTATGAAAGAACCAATCAGATTTAAGGTAACTGGTGTTGGATTTTGGCGCGTAATTCATTCGGTTCAATAGCATTTTGGTAATATAGTTAATGTCAATTCATGATGTAAATACCTTCAAAAATCTAATTCCTAAACTTAACCATCAACTGTAAATCATAATTCTAGTTTCTCATTGTTAAGTCACGATAAACATAATGAATGGTAATTTATGGATCCTTTTATGGACCAATACTAAACGTATATTTTTATCATATAATTGTTAAATAACTAAACTATTCATATTGCAGAGGCTGAGATTGGTGTTCTGGACTTAACTGGCTGGACTAGGCAGGAAGCAGAACCAATCAGAAGTCTAGGCTGCTCGCACGATAATCCATTGCTCTCCAATCGGCGGTCACAAATTATAACACTCATACTGGTTTATAACCCTCATTTGGTCCTATTTACTAGGCGAACATTCTAAAGGTCACCTAATCATAGTCTCACTACAAGAAGAGATCAGTTTTTTAAAGATTTTAGTATTTTCATAATTGAATTGACAAGTCAATTTAAAGTAAGATCATCAATGAAGGTTTGGATTTACTGGAGTTTCATATTAGAACGAAACGGTCATTCAGTGATGTCAAGTTTTCAGTAGTGATGTAACTTAGATTGACTTTTGAATTTAACTATGAAAATGCCTATAAGTTGCTTTTATAGTTGAGATAAATTTCTACGCTATAATAGATTTGAATGCATTCGTTAAGAAACCCTTATATTAAGTTTCATATTTTTTTTTATTAAAGTTGAATATCGGTCAGTATTGAGATGTAGGACGTGAGTTTCGCGGGACTCGAACTCAGGACCTTCTGTGACGCGTGCAAATGCTTAAATCTTTAGACCACTAAACGTCAATCGATCCATGATCTTGAGCAACCCTTCATTCATTGCCTCAGATGGATAACTGTCTCACACTCGATACGGATCGGAATCTACTGTTCAAGGAGTGCGGGATTGTCGATGAGCACTGTTGAAGAATCCCATACTAGGATGAAATGGCCGTCCAGTGCTTCCAGGTTTTCCATAGTGGTCTAGCTTTAATCGACTCATGATCTCAACCATTAAAATCACTGTAATATCCATAAAAACCCCTTCTGATATTTTGATAATCGTACTTCTATATATGATCATTTACTTTGTTGTTACTTATTAGCTTCTTGTAATTGGTTTCAGGTCTTACTTGAACTATAAATCAACTAGTGAATACTATCATGTTGAACACATTTCAGTTGATCAATAATTTTTCAAACATACAATCACAATTTGATATTGAAATTAAGACCTAAATCACCACTGAGTACTTGAAAGCACTAAACGATCGTTTCATCTTAGTTTGAAACTGCTCAGGATTACGCATTCATAATCCTTTATCTAGAAATCAATCTCAGGACTTTCGGTCTTATTACATAGACCACTGGCCAGGTATCCAACGGTATCTAATACTGCAAGGTTTTCAATCGTAGTGTTACATTAACATCAGTTCATGATATAAAAGCTATAAATTCTATAATCTTTACAAACTTTATAAAGTGATACAATCTGTTTATTGGAGTTCGAACTCCATCATCAATTACTTCTTAATTTATCTGTACTAATATACAATGTTTACATAATACGAATCTTTAGGACTCAGCACACACAAAGGAAAAACCAAGATCCTCAAATACAACACACAAAAAAACACCAACCCATTCACACATGATGGAGAAACTCTGTAAAAGATGGAAACGTTCACATATCTAGGAAACATCATCAATGAACAAGGGAGATCTGATGCAGATGTGAATGCAAGAGTTGACAAAGCAAGGGCAGCATTCCTACAACTGAAGAACATATGAAACTCAAAACAACTTTCAACCAATATTAAAGTCACAATCTTTAATACAAACGTCAAGACAGTTTTACTGCACGGAGCTGAAACTTCGAGAAGTACTACAACCATCACCGGCAAAGTACAAGTATTTACAAATAGTTGTCTACACATGATACTCAACATCCATTGGCTGGATATCATCAGCAACAGCCTTCTGTTGGAGAGAACAAACCAGCTTCTAGCTGAAGAGGAAAGTAGGAAAAGACATTGGAAGTGGATAGGACATACAATACAGAAATCACCGAACTGAATTACAAGGTAAACCCTAACTTGGAATCTTGAAGGGAAGCAGAAAAGACGAAGGTCAAATGGCACATTACGTCGGGAAATAGAAGCAGAAATGAAAGAGATGAATGACAACTGGAAAGGATTGGGCAAGACAGGGTTGGATGGAGAGTGCTGGTGGTTGGACTATACTCCACCATGAGGAGTAACAGACGTAAGTAAGTAAGTAACACACAATTATGATTACTATCAATTTACCTTTCCATACATTGCTTTAAACGTTTCTCGTATTTGAATTCGTTGAATAGAATTACGATAACCCAAAACATTAATGATACGATGTTCATCAGTTCCTAATGAAAATACAGAAAGAAAAAAAGTGTGTACGAAAATGTTTTTTTCAATTACTTTGCAAGTGATTGGTTATTGAAGCTTATTAGCTAAGTGGATAACTTAGTGGTATTTGAAACGAACGGTACTAGATTGAAGTTCCAGAGTGAATATCAACTTTGGTATGCAGGTACATTCAACTGACAAGTTTCAAATAACAATACGAAAGCATCCTAGATTTCAAATGCTAGATCCATTCCATGTATTTTATATGCCTATATGATAATAATAAAACACACCTTCAAACAAAAAAGACACTTCAATCTAGTATATTTCTACCTTCATTAATTGTAGTATTACGTATGAACGAAGGTTTTGCAATACTTTAAGTTGTAAACCAACGGAGATAAACTCAACAGTCTGAACGTCAAATACTTGCTAAATACCCTGAAGGTGTTCAGTTCAATCTCTGGTTAAAACAAAAGATGAAAACTGCCTTAAAAAATCCAATTCTATGACGAAATAGTTGTCAGATGCCTTCTGGTTTTTAATGGATATCTAACTTAAGTCAGTCCATGATAAAAAACTGCTCCCAAATGTACTGGAACGGCCGAGGGTGAGGAGAGTCAGCTCTCTCTCACATGGACATACTTATACAGCCACCGCCAGGGAATTCCTGCTCACTGCCTCTTCGCAGCATTACTACTGTTTACGAAATCGAGAGGACGGAAAGAGAATGTTCGGCGTTGTAATTGGGTTGGTGGATATAGAGTATCCACATAGGGGAGTTGGAAAACCATCATTCCAAACTAATGGTACACATGGACTCTAGTATCCTGAAGGAAAAAACGCGTCTGAACCAATCATTGATTGCCGGCTACTATGGGACTGCATCTGCTGCACTGTCTTGTGAATCAAACCTTTAAGTCGAAGGCTCTGGGTGTGGCTCCCTAAAAAAACCACCTACTTCGGTTTGAGCTCCCTATCAATATCATAAGCCACACACAAACCAAGTGACTTGTGTAGTGCATATCTATTCGGTGCCCCTTTTATACCAATACCTATGTGTTCAAGTAAATATTAATAAATAAATACAAAACCACAGATTCAGTAATCTCCACAGCCTTCTATATGAATATCTATATGCCAATGATCAATACACCAACGTCAAACCTCCTTAAACTGTTATTTTCTTATTTGTTTTCGGGTTATTATGTTACCAGAAAAAAAACACTGATGAAGTTTGTCTGGTTACTATGTTTATACTGTTTATGCATGATTATAAGCTTTTCAAAGATAAATCATCTTATCTTGTAATTGAGATAGTCAATCACGCCCAATTAGAACTTATAACAATGAATAATTAATGATGAAAGAAAAACAGAATTTTCCACTTTTTACATAGTTATGTTGAAAAGTAACGAAAGAAATTAGATATAGACTACTTATATTGAAAGATATAAGTAGTATGTAGCCGCAATCCGAAATGTAAAACCTGTCAGAAGAAGATTAAATTGAAGAGATCGGTAAAGGGAAACAGTGAAGCAATGGAATAACAACAGAATTCGAAGAATGAAGAAGTATGTATATGACAACAAAATGATGCAATACAAAACTGTTACAATTTATGGCTCTATCTATTATCATGTGATGAAGTCACCAATCAAAAAACCGACTTATATGATTCTGTGCCTCTACTAAACTAATAACACATCAACAAGAACTAGCAAGCCTGTGTCTACTCTGAGTCTTTATTGGTCCTCAGTATGATTGATTATGGAACTTTATATCGTTCTTCTGAACGACATCATCAGCACAAAATTCATGTAGAATTGAAATGTTCGGATTTCAACACATGTGGTTCACAGTTTGTCCTGTACACCTCGATATTAGATTAGTTCTTGTTGACCTTGAACCCGTCATTGTTTACTTCTTCGTTTTGGTTCATGTTTATGTTTTTTGTGACCCAGGATCTGTATATCTTATGTATATCTCATGGACACATCACTGATTTGAACAGGCAATCAAGGTGATGAAACAAAGATGGAAGAACGAAGCAGGTTGGCGAAGGCGTGTGAACCAACTCCAAGAGTGAATCAATATTTATAGTCACACAAAAATAAGTTACAGATATATAGTAAATAAGATAAGAAGGGCACACATATATGCGCTCATATAAAAACAGTTAAGGTTGATAAGCCAATAATTAACATATAAAAAATGTAGCTTGATTAGAATGGATAAACTAGCTTGTCCATAAGCTAGAATAAACAATGTAGGTTTGACATAGTAACCGCTCCTACAACTGGTAGATGATGTAATCACTGTTAAAATGAGTTAAATGAGATTATAAATTCAATCGTTTAATAACAACGTATATGCGGACTCATTCTACATGTATAAGTCTATGCATGTTTCTTCATACAGGTATTTCTCATTTCTTAAATCACTTTAACAGCTGTGTGTTCCGGTTATTATCGAAATCATGTAATTTTAATATTACAGAATAACTAGCTTGTAGTGTGTAATAGGATCTAGGAGGTTTTTGATTGAGATCATGAACCGATTGATGTTAGACTACCATTGAAAAACTGAAAGCACTGGACGGCCGTTTTGTCCTACTGTGGGACTCCACGATCCCGCTAGTGGGATTCGAACCCAGAACTCACAGCCTTGAGGGCGAACGCTTAACCGCTAGACCACTGAGCCATCATCCAACTCTGTTAATATTTAACCTCAACTAATCCACGAATTTGTGCGACCATCTTCCATGGTACTGTACAATAAACAGCTTAGGTGCAGCTAGACGAAATGGACCTAGCTCTTCTATCTCATACACGAACAAATGCATGTAAAAACAGACAATGTAACAGCAGCCACTGAAATAGTAGGCCTCAGCATACACAAAGGAAGAACCAAAATCCTCAAATACAACACAAAGAACACTAACGTCTTCATACATGATGGATAAACTTTAAAACAGGTGGAAACTTCCACTTATCTAGGGAAATTCATCGATGAACAAAAGAAGGACAGTATTCCTACAACTAAAGAACATATAGAATCCAGAAAAACTTTCAACCAACATCAAAATCAGAATCTTCAATACAAACGTCAAGACAGTCATACTACACGAAGCTGAAACTTCCAGAACTATCACAAACATCATAAAAAAGGCACAAGTATTTATAAACAATTGTCTATACAAGATACTTTATGTCTGTTGGCCGGATACCATAAGCAACAGTCTACTATGGGAAAGAACAAACCAACTTCTAACTAAAGAGGAAATCAGGAAAAGATGACATTGAGGAAATCATAGGATTGGATCACAAGGGAAGTGCCAACTTAGAATCTTGATAGGAAAAGGAAAGGATAAGATCAAGGAACACATTGTGTAGAGTATTCGAAATAGACATGTAAAAGATGAATAGGAATTGGAAATAATTGAAAAGAATTACTCAAGACAGAGTTGATTAGAGAATGTTGATAGTTGGCTTATGATCCTCCATGAAGGTTGACAGACGTATATAAGTAAGTATATCAACAATATTCCAACAATATACCATTCCTTATTTCATTGTAGTCCAAGTTGTTGAATTCATTTTTTTGACAAGTTACCTTAAGAACCGCAAGTATATGTTTTGTTCTAACGCGTTTCCATGAAGTATAGAATTGTACTATTTGAACCATTTAGAAATAAAGATCAGATAAATAAATGAATCAATATGGAGATTTGTGAAGACGGTAGAATTGTCACAGTTGAAATCACCAGTCAATCTAAGCTAAACGATCACTGAAAATATGAAAGTACTAGATGACCGTTTCTACCCAGTAATGAAACTCTTCAGCAATGTGCATCGAGACTAGGGACAAATAACTGGATACTATAACAAAAATTACTGATTAATGTATTAAACTGATAACGTATGACCATATACAAATTAGTTTCTATATGAATTTGATTTTGAATAACTCAGTTATACTACTGGAGGTCAATCTCTACCTGAATAACGTCTCATTCTGTGAAGCTGGATAACACTGGCAATTCGAATCACACAGGGGGGAGCATATAAGCTATATAACACAAAATCTAAGTTGATTAAAAAAATTACTGCCAGTCATCTATCATCTACGAATATCAACTCCTAGATAATATTTATCAGGGTGGAATATTTCAATCATTTCAAAAACCGACGAGTCCCAAATAGGACGAAACGCGTGTCCTGGATTCCACTGCTAGCCAATATCCATCTTTGCATATAATGCTTGTGAATTAAGGCTATATCGAAGCTATACGCACAGTATGCACATATGCTTATAACAGACTGATCAATTGCAGTCTTAAATCACAATGGGAAGATTCAAGCAAACAATAACATGTGAATTTAAAATTCACCCGATTGCACTAGCAAGTGGCTAGCAGGACTCAGTAGGTTAGTGAATAACGAGATGGCGTTTGAAGTGAATGATATTGGGTTCGAGTCTCAGAGTGAACATCAACTCTCTGAGATGCATGTACATCCAGCCAACGAGTCTCAAATAAGACGAAACGCGTGTCCTGGATTTCACTGTTAGCTACTATCCATCTTTGCATATAATGTAAGAAGTTAGTTTCTATGAAACTTAGCCAATCAATCAAATCAAATCATATTTAATTGGACGTAAAACAATCATTCTTATATTCTTAATGTGTTTTTACTTTTATGAATGCACATGTAACTCATGTTCATTACTTCATGTATACTAAGTGTTTACTATGAGAAGTTGTAATGTAATCAACATATAATTGTGTACTTTGTTCTAATTAGTAATATACATATAATCAATCACATGTATTCCATAAAAAAACTTGAATTAGAAATCATGCACGTTCAATGTCCAAATTGTTTATTAAAACAAAAATGTAATTGGTATCAGAAGGGGTATTTGTGGATATTATGCTAATTTAATTATTGAATTCATGGGTCAATTGAAGCTAGATCACCATGGAAAACCTGAAAGCACTGGACGGCTGTTTCGT